CATGGTACACAGTTCCACCACCGCTGTGGCGCCGAGCCAAATCGATACCATACTCCTTCAGAAAAGGAATGTTGGCTTCCATCCACGGATTCTGGTGACGTCCCACGACCACAGCTGGCTTATTACTGCAAATGGTCAGGAATGCGATCAACAGAAAATGGAGAATTCAAGAATCAAGAGTGGAGAATTCACTTACCTCCACATAAGGATCACTTCACCACCTTCTTCTATCTTCGTATTTCTGAGAAGATACTCCTCAAACGCTAGATTTTTGAAGATACATGTCGAGCTTGAGAGGTAGATACGACCTATACCTTTCCTAATAACTTCGCACATATTTCTGAAAATCAGTTCAACTGCAACGCTCCATTGATTCATGATCAAAGACGGGTGTCGGTCGGGAGATCCACGCTGCAGAGACGCGCAGCAACTAATTAGTCTTCCTAGCTAGTTGACTCGACAGCGTTGTGGCCGCCCCACCACAACGCGAGCCTTCGACTAACCGGCTCACCAATACATCTACGTGAAAATTATAGCCACTAGCGCAAACTAAGGCGAGCGAAAGTGAAGACTATGTCGAGACAACACCTGCTAGGCGCAATACCTTTCACTCCACGCTTCATCCGACCCCCCCGCAAATATGAACTTGGAATTGGCACAAGTAGCACATCAGGGAGCATAAAGGTCATAAAGGTATAAACGAAAATTCAATCTGACTGAAAGTATTCGCCATGATCGTATTCGTTCCAAAAACAGTCACAGCACAAAGAAAACAATATTTATTTGTAATCACCCATGTTGGAATTTATGAACAACGACAAACAAGATAAGACAAAAAATGAGATCAACAATTCTTGTAACAACTAAGGAATTTCACCCAAGAAGATACGCTTGTCACTTCCAGCAGATAACACTGAAATTGTGCGCAGTTAATACACCATCCATCTTTTGAGAAGTAATCGCTTGTGGTTCAGGAGATCCGGGACGCACGCACGCGCGGCGCTAAGCTCAACTTTTCCGTTTGTCATCAATGACGGATTTCTAACCTTGTTAATTTTGCTTTACTGACTTATGTCGAAAATTCTGACAATCGACATGCCATATCATTCACACGAGCTGAAATGATTTTCGCTATCAAGATCCTCAAAACTTGAATGAAGAAACAGTTTATCAAACTGCTGGATGAAGACGTGAAATTATCGTGGACGCTTGATGCCAAAAATGGACCTCTATAGATTTGAACGCCAAAGTGCTGGCCCAAGTCACTAATAGAATACCCACTTGGCACGACGCTCTTCCGAACTTGGATCTCGTAATCCTGCGATCTGCTGAACCACATCCAAGCAAACATGAAACAGAGAACTTACAAATGGGCTCAGTCGGATGCAAATCGGTGGCATTAACGGATCCTAAATGCCCAGGCAGTTTGTAGAGAATGTAACGAGATGCCGCATCCCATACGTATGCGAATCGATCACTTGATCCGGCTGTCACTCGTTTACCATCACCAGACCATCCACATTTCAGTAAATTCTAAATGGTAAATAATTAAGCAAGGCATCACAAATAAAGAATAAAACAAAATATATAACCTTTTCGAAATTGTGCTGATGACCATAAAACGATTTCAAACAGCGCTCCTGAGGCGCAAATGGCCTCACATCCCACATTTTTGCTAGAAACAAAAAAGAAGATAAGCTGACTGGAAATATAACAAGCAAATGAGAAGGAAAAGAAAAAACACTATGTGCTCTATAAAACTAAAGTGTACAAAAATCTCGAATAAGTTTCTGTCCTGTTTTTATCAGCTAAACCCTTTTGCAGCCAGCATGCCACTCAACAGGGAGCATTCTTAAAGACACATTGCACGACCGTAACTTGTGAATAATGGTGCTCAAACATGGTTTTTTTGATGCTGACAGACGTACTACTGAAAAGGTAGCACAAAATCTGCCTGAAGTGACCCGACTGAAGGAAGTGTGGTTCGTTTTCAGCATTGACGGTTAAGCGGTGAACTGAAACGCAGGGATGCAATTCGTGAAGGCAGAGCCGATAGCGGTCAAAGCAACACCGCCACAAAAGCAG